CAACTAAAAATATATAGAAAAAATTAGCCGAGCATGGTGGCGCATGCCTGTAGTCCCAGCTACTTGGGAAGCTGAGGCAAAAGAATTGCTTAAGGCCAGGAGTTTAAGGTTGCTGTGAGCTAGGGTAATGCCATGGCACTCTAGCCCAGGCAACAGAGCAAGACTCTGTCTCAAAAAAAAAAGGGGGGGGGCGGTATTTGATCTAGGTTTCTTTTTGTATAGATAAGGGATGACAGCATCATAGCCCAGAAAAATCACGGTCACTATAAGAATACAAAGTCAGGTTTCTCCTGTTCTTTCTCTCACACAGGCACTCAACACTTCTGATAGATCTGTGGGGGTTTTCCCCACACCAAGCAATTCTGCAGGTGAATCACCAGCAGGCACCAGCTGGGTGTCCTCTAATTTAATTCAAATCTGACACTGTCTACCTGGAGATGGCATCAGACCTCACAGGTTGAGGGTTTGGTCCCAACAAGACTGCCCCCTACTTGTGATGCCAATTGCAAGCCCCAGGTTGTTTTACCTGAACTTCTAATCCCCGTTAACTCCCTCCTTGGGTTCAATTAATTTGCTGGAGCAGCTCACATAACCCAGGAAAACACTTGCTTTTTATTGGTTTGTTATGTTATGTTACAAAGGATTTTATTAAGGTTGGTGCAAAGGTAATTGCAGTTTTAGCATTATTGAAATTTGCCATTAGATACTGGAATACATTCTTAAATGTGGTTATATTGTATATCATGCACATTTCTGTATGTTTTTTTGCTAATGACTTATTACTTGCTACTTACATTTATTTTCGACTATGGAAATGATGTTAGACAAAAAGCAAATTCGAGCAATTTTCTTATTTGAATTAAAAATGGGTCATAAAGCAACGGACACAACTCACAACATCAACAATGCATTTGGCCCAGGAACTGCTAATGAACGTACAGTGCAGTGGTGGTTTAAGAAGTTTGGCAAAGGAGATGAGGGCCTTGAAGATGAGGAGCGCAGTGGCTGGCCGTCAGAAGTTGACAGCGACCAGTTGAGAGGAATCATTGAAGCTGATCCTCTTACAACTACGTGAGAAGTTGCTGAAGAACTCAATGTCAGCTGTTCTATGGTCGTTCAGCATTTGAAGCAAATTGGAAAGGTGAAAAAGCTCGAAAAGTCAGTGCCTTATGAGCTGAATAAAAATCAAAAAAATCATCATTTTGAAGTGTCATTTTCTCTTCTTGTATGCAACAACAATGAATCATTTCTCGATAGGATTGTGACGTGAGACAAAAAGTGGATTTTATATGACAGCCGGCAACGACCAGCTCAGTGGTTGGACCGCGAAGAAGCTCCAAAGCACTTGCCAAATCCAAACTTGCAGCAAAAAAAGGTCATGGTCACTGTTTGGTGGTCTGCTGCGAGTCTGATCCACTACAGCTTTCTGAATCCTGGTGAAACTATTACATCTGAGAAGTATGCTCAGCAAATTGATGAGATGCACCGAAAACTGCAACACCTGCAGGTGGCATTGGTCAACAGAAAGGGCCCAATTCTTCTCCATAACAACACCCGACCTGCGGTCGCACAACCAACACTTCAAAAGTTGAATGAATTGGGCTATGAAGTTTTGCCTCATTTGCCATATTCACCTGGCCTCTCCCCAACCGACTACCGCTTCTTCAAGCATCTTTTTGCAGGGAAAGCACTTCAACAACCAGCAGGATGCAGAAAATGCTTTCCAAGAGTTTGTGGAATCCCGAAGTACGGATTTTTACGCTACAGGAATAAACATTTCTCGTTGGCAAAAATGTGTTCATTGTAATGGTTCCTATTTTGATTAAAAAGATGTGTTTGAGCCTAGTTATAATTTAAAATTCAGTCAGAAACTGCAGTTACTTTTGCACCAACCTAAGAGATGCAACCAAATGGAAGAGATGCCTAGGACAAAGGGTATATGCAGGAAGGGGCATGGAGCTTCCCTGCCTTCTTTGGGCATGCTACGCTCTAGGGACCTCTGTGTGTTTAGCTATCCAGATGCTCTCCAAACCCTGTTCTTTTGGTGTTTTATGGAGGTTTCATTATGTAGGTATGATTGATTAAATCTTATTGGCCATTAGTGATTAATTTAACCCTCATCTCATCTCCCCATGCCCTCCCCTCCCCAAGCTAAAAGTCCCAACCCTCTAACCCTGGGAGGGTTCTGCAGGTGACCAGCCCCTATCCTGAAACTATCTAAAGAGGCCTTAGCCATAAGCCATCTCATTAGCATTCAAAAGACACGCATATCGCTCTGGAGATTCCAAGGGTTTTAGAAGTTGTATGACAGGAAATGGGGACAAAGACCAAATATGTATATCTAATTATAAATCACCTTATCACAGTCACATATTTTGGCCTTCCTATATCAGTAAAGTCTAAGTGTGAGGCATATCCACATAAGTCTTATTTTTGAAAAACCAAAACCTTTTGTTTCAAATTTCCCAATAAGACTAAGAATTTTAGTGTGAATTATCCCCAATTTGTTGATAAGAGAGTTTTTAGATTTTTAGGTTTAACAAGGTTAAGGTTGAACATATTTTATCTTTAATGGTTATGAGAGCATAGA